AAACAACGATGTACAAAGCATAGTCGCAAAGTGTGTCTTAAATAGTATTAATATAAAAAGTGGTTCTCGATATAAGAAAGCGATCGGGACCCGCCAAATTCCTTTCTTATATCGAGAGTCTCTCGTTATAAGACAGCCCTTAATTAATGTGAATAAAACTTATATCAAAACTTTAGTTACACTAGATATCTGTCTAGAGTTACTTGCCTTTTACATTGAATACTGTCATTTACTACGTCTTTTTAAAGCGACATAGTCTTTGAATAAAAGATCCATCTACCTTAACATCGTTGTTTGATTGATTGATAAAACGGAGAATAATATTGTATTGATAACTTCACTATGAGAAATACTTTCGTCATACTCCTCCTCTTCTTCTTTGTCATTACTATTACTATTGAGTACTGCTTCAATTTATTTCGCTATCACTAGGCGCGCTTTCATTGATTTCAAAAGCATTATCAACAGCAATAAATTGTAATGGCATGCAGTTGGTCAATAAGGGATTACAGTATCGTCTAAATTAATCCAACAATCACGAATTACGCTTTGGGAAACGTTTTCGCATGCTTCAGCGGCAGCATCTTTGATATTGAATAGTGAGAGCACTTATACCAGTCTCTGTTGTTTCATCATAAGAAGCAATACGGTTTCCACAAAAAATTTTGCGATAATAAGCCTTCATACAAAAGGATATGTTTAGGCATAATAATAATAATAATAAATAAACATTTACCTTGAAGCTCCAGATTATACCCGCATCACAAGGTCGTAAATGGGTTGTTGTGTTTGGGGGAAGACAGTGTATTCTAATGTTCGAAGGAACGAAGCCTTCTCAAGAGTATGTGGGGAAGCGTTGTCCATGAGTATTACGTGCTATGTTAGTCACAACAATTTTTATACCAGTTGTATTTTTAAAAAAAAAGTGATCCCATTTATTATTATATACTCGCTCACCCGCGGTTGTATCCCCAACGTTTATAAAAACAAATATCCTTATAAGATACATTGTACACTTATATCCCCAACCCGTTTATATCCCCACTTTGAGGCAAAACAAAAGGGGCGACATAAACGGGGTACGAGTGTATGTGTAATTTTGCGTAATTAAAATTTTTGATGTGCAAGACTTTTGTCCGGGTAGTGTATCTTATGCATCATTGGGGACCGGTTCGTTACGAGACATATTTGTTATTTTACGTAACAGCCATATGACTTAATACGCACGTGAAGCAAACACGACTGTGAAGTATGTCCTTCAATGGAAGGAAAGCCTGCTATGCTTGACGTCAAATGAGGCAGACCGGCACTTAAAGAGCAAAATGCATATAGATCGGACGTCAAATTAAAAAAACAAATAGACGATCACCAGTATAGGTTATGCCAGAATGGTTAAAACAGAAAATACATGCTACCCGAAATATTGATGTCAATTCTTGAGTAAAAATGCATTTCGTTATTGCTAAACTCTTTATTCGGACGTTATTTTGTCATCGAAAGTGAATTATCATTACCTCGATCCCATTTTTTGATGTAGCTAAACCAACAGGTAATACACTATCATATGTTTTGTTGTTAGAAAGTTTGCAGATATCTGAAGCTGTATCATTCGCTGCAACTCAATTGTGCTATTTCAAGAAGAGTTGATTCATTATTAACAAAGATGCCAAAAATTTAAGAGGCAAGCGACTGAAAATATTTCTGTAATGTAATAAACATCTTAATTTAGCACAAAAATTAGCAAAACAGAAACGAAGCTGCCATTCATCATACAATTTAATTACTCGCCATTCTTCCGCGGCCTTTGTATTTAACCGGAGGTGACCTAGACATCGATCGTTTTCGGTCATATTCCTTTCCTTTCTTATTGCCATCATCATTATTGCTATATCTACGGCCTCGATCTCTGTAATCCTGATCACCTTCCTGCGTGTGTCTTTCAGGACCACGATCTTCTCTGTTCCGACGCTCCTCTCTGTCGCTACTCTCGCTAGAACTCACTCGCTCATTCTCTCTTTGCGTACTAGAGCGTGTTCCATTATCTCGTCCATTATTCTGATAATCAATATCACGATCGTTATAATTTTTTCGGCGGTCGCGATCATAATCCCTATCCCTAACCCGTCTATCGTCACGGTAATGTGGAACATAACTTTGTGAAGGTCGATAACTGTCTAATAATTTGTAGCTAGAACGTCTTCTCGGAGGCGTTCTACTTCCCGATCGTGAACGATGCCGAGATCGCGATCTCGAAACCGACTCCACCCGTGACGAATATGATTTTGATGGATATGGCCGTTGAGGCGACCGCGACCGAGAAGACGATCGAGAAGATTTTGATACATCGCGTCGAGTCAGCGATCGTGATCGTCCCCTAGGCGATTTCGAGCGATCTCGGAATGCAGACGGCGATCTAGAACGACTTTGCGACCGGGGACCATCTGGAGAGACAGAAAACTCTCTCGAACGAGATTTACGAGGTGACTGGGTCTCCAACCGAGATTTGCTTCGTCTATTGTCACTACTGATTGGCCTTGTGCTAACACCAACAGTTAATCGTTCTTTACTCAATGATCTACTGCGCCTTCGCGTCTTTTCTTTATATTCTGGACTTGTGCTACGACTGCGAGAACGACTCCGCGAAACACTCTCGTCGCGTCTCTTCCTACTCCTATCTTTTTTCTTAGAGTGTCTTTTATGTTTTTTCTTTCTATGTCTTTTCTTACTACGACGCTTGCCATCTGAATCTGACTCGCTCTCGGATGCTGAATCTGTTTCGGATAATGACCGCTTTCTTCTCTTCTTTCTTCTCCTTTTTTTCTTTTTGCTAGTCTCGGATTCGGAAGAGTTACGTCCATCTTCTGCATTGACTTCCTTAATCTTCTGTTTGCTTTTGTCTTTGACTTTGGGAATAAGTACGACTTAAAAAATGTATTCTTAATCAATGCAAATAATCTACCCAAAGTCAACTTACCTCTGTAATTAGGTGGTAATTTCAACTCTAGTTCACCACATTGAGCGATCATGACAATTCCAATAGGTCGATCGTTATCATCTACTGGCGTGCTTTCGATCGCTTTCACAATGTCGTAACCGCTGACAATACGTCCGAAAACGACATGTTTACCTGAATTACATGATACAATTTATATCCTTTGTCAAAAACACCTGAGAGCATATAACTCTTTGAAAAAAAAGGTTTACCATCTAAATGCGGTGTTGGCCGAACAGTTATAAAAAACTGTGAACTGTTGGTATTGGGCCCACGATTAGCCATGGATAACAGCCCTTCGGTATCATGCTTGCGACGAAAGTTTTCATCTTTTAATTTAAACTTTCATCGGTTAGATCTTTACCATTTATTCGAGTAAATATCAATATCAATCAGACGTAAAGCTCTTACCGTTAAAGGTCCCACCATAAATGCTCTCCCCACCAGTTCCATTTCTTCGCGTAAAATCTGATCACATAAATATAAAAACGTCTGATTACAGTGACATTTGTAACAAAACAGTTGAATTCGTCAAAAGAATAGATATTGAATACCTCCTCCCTGTATCATGAATCCTTTGATGACACTAAATTTTTTTGCGAGGGTGAGTCATTTACACGCGACTTGTATATTGATAGAATCTTTTGCTTAAGACGATTCATTGTCGTGAGTTCACACATAAAATAAACGTGTACCGGTGAAAGATAGATCCACGGTAATGTAAGGGCATATTACTTTGCTTCCCAAGGCCCTTTTCGCCTGCGAATATGATGAAATCGACAAAATGTTATAAACTACCATGGATCAAGACAGTCTGCAGTTAAGAGAAGTTTACACGCACCCGTACAAAGGGCCCTAAAGTTTTCGGTGGTGATCTAGTTACGAACAGACAATATCGTTACGACGAAAGTCTACTAAATAGATTTCCTTATTCCCGACTATTTACCGGCACTTCATCCTTGAACAATTCTATTACAATCCTTAGAGAGCACAATGGTAAAAAGTGAGTGATTACGAAGTCTCAACAACAAAAAGTACGGGAAGTATCCGTCTCAGGGGTCTTCAAAAACTGTTGGCAAAAGGAGCTTCTAGTTTTTACGATCGATCAGTCTCAGTACCTGCCAACTGTGAACATATATAGTTGAGTACACCTGTTCCTCACAGCAATTGACTTGCACGAGTTAACTGCACAAACGGGTTCACTTAGATAACAAACCTCGATGTCCGTCGATATCAATGTCAAAGAAAACGCGAGGATTGACCATAGTTACGGTACGTTATTGTATAATATGCAAACTTCCTTTCAGTGTAGTAAAGTTGGTCAAAATTTTATTGGACGGCAATATTCTTACTATTACTATTGGTTGAAACTTAAAATTGACTTACTTATTATTAATATTAATGAAGCATTAGTATTAGTATAAATCCGATTCAGATGCTGAGATAGAAAAATTAAGAAAGTTCAATACCAAAAAACACAAAAAACTCAGGCAGCAGTTTCGCAAACAGTTGAACCGGTTAGACAACCAAGAGGTCCCCATCAAATTTAAAAACGAAAGAAGATTATGAAAAATATTATTTAGCTAAATTCTTTAATATTAATGATTTAGGTATATATGGTAATGAAGATTTAAATTCAAATATCCTAAAAAACCTTTTCAAAATCTCGTCCCCAGCAAAAAGATAACTCTATTAGATTAGAGGAGAAAGTAGATGAATTGGGCATATTAATATGTTATCTCATCTTAATATAAACAATCAATCCAAAAAACCGATAGCCAAATCAAATCGAACACAACGATATTATCCAATTTCAATCAATAAATTATAACTTTTCAGCTAATAATGAAAATAGAGGATATAATGAAGAAAATGATATATGGTATGGTCCGGTGCAAAAAGATAGATACCTCGAAATTGATCGCTATCAAATCGTCTAGTTAAAGCTGTGTGCGACTTT